GTATTTTTAGTAGAGACAGAGTTTCGCCATATTGGCCAGGCTGGTCTCGAACTCCCGACCTCAGGTGATCCACCCGCCTCAGCCTCCCAAAGTGCTGGGATTATAGGCGTGAGCCACCGTGCCCAGCCTGTTTCCACCTTTTGGCTATTGTGAATAATGATGCTTGAACTTGGGTGTACAGATATCTCTTTTAGACACTGCTTTCAATTCTTTTGTGAATATACCCAGAAGTGGAATTGCTGGATCAAATGGTAATTCTTCATTTAATTTTTTGAGGAATAGGCAAAATGTTTCCCAAATTTTTAAGAGAAAATTAATGACTAAATATTGAAGATAATCCAACTTCTAAAAATGCCCTTAATTATTATTATTATTATTATTATTTTTGGAGACACAGTCTTGCTCTCTCACTCAGGCTGGAGTGCAGTGGTGTGATCTTGGCTCACTCCATCCTCTGTCTCCCAGGGTCAAACAATTCTCCTGCCTCAGCCTCCTGAGTACCTGGGATTACAGGTGCCCACCACTACACCTAGCTAATTTTTGTGATTTTAGTAGAGCCAGGGTTTCACCATATTTCCCAGGCTGGTCTCAAACTCCTAACTTCATGTAATCTGCCTGCATTGGCCTCTCAAAGTGAGATTACAGGCATGAGCCACCGCACCTGGCCAGCGGCCCTTAGTTATTAATATTCAAGTCCATTCTTTTTTTTTTTTTTTTTGAGACGGAGTCTCACTCTGTCACCCAGGTTGGAGTGCAGTGGCCGGATCTCAGCTCACTGCAAGTTCCGCCTCCCGGGTTTACATCATTCTCCTGCCTCAGCCTCCCGAGTAGCTGGGACTACAGGCGCCCGCCACCATGCCTGGCTAATTTTTGTATTTTTAGTACAGACAGGGTTTCACTGTGTTGTTCAGACTGGTCTTGAACTCCTGACCCCAGGCGATCCACCGCCTCGGCCTCCAAAAGTGCTGGGATTACAGGCATGAGTCACCACGCCTGGTGGTGTTTTGTTTTGTTTTGTTTTGTTTTGTTTCTTTAAGTTATAGTATGTTCATTTTTTGTTTTGTGTTTTTTGTTGAGACGGAGTCTCGCTGTGTTGCCCAGGCTGGAGTGCAGTGGCATGATCTCGGCTCATTGCAGGCTCCGCCTCCCGGTTCACGCCATTCTCCTGCCTCAGCCTCCCGAGTAGCTGGGACTACAGGCGCCCGCCACCATGCCCAGCTAATTTTTTTGCATTTTTTTAGTAGAGACGGGGTTTCACCGTGTTGCCCAGGTTGGTCTTGAACTCCTGACCTCAGGTGATCCACCAGCCTCAGCTTCCCAAAGTGCTAGGATTGCAGGCGTGAGCCACCGCGCAGGCCTCTACCTTTTTTCATTTTTTTTTGGAGATAATATCGCTCTGTCGCCCAGGCTGGAGTGCAGTGGCCGGATCTCAGCTCACTGCAAGCTCTGCCTCCCGGGTTTACGTCATTCTCCTGCCTCAGCCTCCCGAGTAGCTGGGACTACAGGCTCCCGCCACCTCGCCCGGCTAGTTTTTTGTATTTTTTAGTAGAGACGGGGTTTCACTGTGTTAGCCAGGATGGTCTCGATCTCCTGACCTCATGATCCGCCCGTCTCGGCCTCCCAAAGTGCTGGGATTACAGGCTTGAGCCACCGCGCCCGGCCTAAAATTTATTTTTTAACAAAGACGTCAAAAAATGTATTTAACACCCAGCTTGCAAAACGTCTGAAAATTTAACCATGCGCTCTAGCGAATCCAGCACTGTCCTCAGATGCGGTTTTTGACGGTGCTCATTTTACTTCGTCATGTTTGGGGCTTTTAGTGGTCGGGACACGCAAAGCCAGGAAGAGGAAAGAGGCCAACGGGAGAAGAAAGCCGGGCTCCAGTCCCTCACGCGGCCACCGGGGGGCGACAGACACAGGCCAATGAGCAGTTGGGGACGGAAGGCGCCCGGGCTCGGCCGCTAGGCCTCTTCTCCTCCCACAAGGAGGGCTGACACGCTTTTCCTGATATTTTGGGTATGGCCCGGCACAGGCGCGGCGGCAGGGGTCTGGGGGGCCGAGGGGCCGCGCCCTGCCCGGACTTAGGTCCCTGGTATTGACTACCAACGCTGTCCATCCGCAGTGCCCAAGTGGCCCCGGACATCGCGCAGGCTCACTCTGGCGGCCGCCATAACCCCTGCCCGGCAGCCTCTGCGGCCGGAAGTTGGCTCGTCCGGTCTTCCGGGCATCCCTCCGGCAGTTAACTGCTTTTCTGCTGGCTGGGTATCCGCGGCAAGTTGAGATCATTAGTTGGCTGGAGTTAATTAACCACCGGACAATTAGCTTATATTTTTCCTGATCCTAAGATCAGCTGGATTGGTGAGGAGGAACTAGAGACAACAGCTTCCTTCTGAGTCACCTTGAGGCAGCAGCCCCTGGGGAAATGCAGGGAAGGAGACTACCCAGGCTTCCTGGAGGGGTTGGCCCCAGGGCATGCCCTGCTTGGGCGGAAAAGCTGGAGTTTAGATGAGGAAGCCTGTATTCTCTAGACCTCCTGCCAACTCTTTGCCTGACCTTGGGCAAAACATTTAACTCTCTGCTGGGCCTCGGTTTCTTTAGCAAACACTGACGCCTGCCTCTCCAGCCCCCCCGCCCCACCCCCATCCCCTGCTTTTTAAATGTTTACTTATTATTATTATTTTTTGAGAGTCTCCCTCTGTCACCAAGGTTGGAGTGCCGTGGGGCGATCTCAGCTCCCTGCATTCCCCTTTCTTGTTGGCAGACAGTGCCCACCTCTTCAGGGAAATTTACTCCAGTGCTTCATCCTACCTGATTGGACACAGCCGACCATGTTGGTCCTGGTCCCCTTATCAAATGCTGGCTCCTGGAAATAGCATTAAAGCAAGCAACTGATAAGACAAAACTGGGCTGTTGCTTATCATGCTAAGGGGAAGCACGTCTTGAAAGAGTCATTGTAGAGTGGAGGTGGGAGGGCAAAGTTGAGATATTGAGGTTTTGGGGTTTGGTTTAAGGCAGGTCCTTTGATGTCGGACTTAATCAGGGTTGGGTAAGGATCATGTTATAATAGTTTTAGGATTCTTGGTCACAGTAGTTTAGTATTGGTGGTCACAGAGAAGTGAAGACTTCAAAGACTTTTGGAGCTTTCTTTGATGCTACCTGTTGAAGAGCTGTGTGGTTTTACTAATAAATGGATTTTCGACTGGGGGCGGTGGCTCAAGCCTGTAATCCCAGCACTTTGGGAGGCTGAGACGGCCGGATCACGAGGTCAGGAGATCGAGACCATCCTAGCTAACACGGTGAAACCCCGTCTCTACTAAAAAATACAAAAAACTAGCCGGGCGAGGTGGCGGGCACCTGTAGTCCCAGCTACTCGGGAGGCTGAGGCAGGAGAATAGCGTAAACCCGGGAGTCGGAGCAGGGAACAAGGTGGGGCTCACCCCAGGCAGGGTGAGGCACCTCCTCCAGGCTTCCAAAGCCCCCCTGGGGGCTGTCCCAGCAGCCACCCCCAGAGTCGGTGTGCAGTTCCGGCTCCATCACTCACCCAGCAATCTTGGGCAAGTCACTTAACCGCCATAAGCTGCCTCAGTTTCCTCATCTGCAGAGTGGGAATAATAAGGACATTTGAGGATTAGGTGAGGCAATGCATGGCCCTCCTAAATGTTTTTTTTTTTTTTTTTTTTTTTTTTTGAGACGGAGTCTCGCTCTGTCGCCCAGGCTGGAGTGCAGTGGCCGGATCTCAGCTCACAGCAAGCTCTGCCTCCCGGGTTTACGCCATTCTCCTGCCTCAGCCTCCCGAGTAGCTGGGACTACAGGCGCCCGCCACCTTGCCCGGCTAGGTTTTTTTTTTTTTTTTTTGTATTTTTTAGTAGAGACGGGGTTTCACCGTGTTAGCCAGGATGGTCTCGATCTCCTGACCTCGTGATCCGCCCGTCTCGGCCTCCCAAAGTGCTGGGATTACAGGCTTGAGCCACCGCGCCCGGCCCTAAATGTTTGCTCTATTCTATAGATATTACATTTATATAAATATATTTATCATATACATATTCACTGCTATGGTTTTTTGTTTTTTTTTTTGAAACAGTCTTACTCTGTCACCCAGGCTGGAGTGCAGTGGTGCGATCGCAGCTCACTGCAACCTCTGCCTCCCAGGTTCAAGCAATTCTCCTGCCTCAGCCTCCGAAGTAGTTGGGACTAAAGGCGCCTGCCACCATGCCTGGCTGATTTTTTTTCTATTTTTAGTAGAGACGGGGTTTCACTATGTTGGCCAGGCTGGTCTTGAACTCCTGACCTCATGATCTGTCCGCCTTGGCCTCCCAAAGTGCTGGGATTACAGGAATGAGCCACTGCGCCCAGACGCTATGATTGTTTTTAATTCCCCCCCAGCGGTAGCAAGGGCCCTGCTGGAGGCTTGTTGATTGAACTGGTGAAGGGGCACAGGCTCCTGCCTCTTTGTAGAGGAGGAAGCCTGCCCTGCTTGGGTGCGAGTGTCAGAGTGTCCCAAGTGTGGGGCGCTGCAGGGCACTGAGTCAGGGAAGGTCTCACAGGATTCAGCCCCGGCTTGCCATTGCCGCAGCCGCTGGGAGGAAGAACCGAGAATCCACTCCCAGGCCAGGACCCGGCCCGGCACAACCCAGTCCAGCAGCTCTTTGAATCCTGGAAGCCCCAGCCCTTCCCGGGGCTCCTCCTCTCTCAACCCCGCTGCTTGGCTGCGCCCTGGTGCCCATGGGCTCCTCCCCTTCCCAGGACTCCAAGTGAGGTGAGTCCTCAGGTGTCTGAATGGCAGGGCTGAGGCCCGCCTGCAGAAATGACAGGAGGGCGGCCACCAGGAGGCCACCAAGGTCGCCACTCACCTGATTCACAGCTTTCGGGAAGTGGGTTAACGGGATTCCCGAGCCCCGGGTTGCGCCAGGTCTCTGGACTGAGTCACAGGGGCCCAGGCCCCTGCAGGTGGGTGCCCTTAGTGAGCCTCGGGCACCCCCTAGATCCCTAAGGCCTTAGCACCCCCCAACACTCAGTACCCCAGACTTCAACCACTCCAAACCCAGGCCCTCTCCAGCCCGGAACGCCTTCTTTTCAGTGCCCTGGGACCTTTCTCTGCCCCTAGACAGTCAATGTCAGGGACCACTGGGCCGAGCCCCCTCCCCTGCCCTTCCGGAGGCCACATCCTGGACCCACAGCTGGAGCCTGGGGTCTCAACTAGAGCCCCCCCAGGGCTCTGTAGCTGCTGGCTTCCTCCCCGCAGCCCCGCCCCCTGCCCATGACCCACAGCCAGAGTGGCCGCGGGAGCCACCTCGGGACTGGTCTGACGGCATTCCGCCTCCCGGGATAAAACCTGGGGCGACCTGCAGGGAACCTACACACCCTGACCTGCATCGCCCTGGGTCTCTCGAGCCTGCTGCCCGCTCCCCCGCCCCACCAGCCATGATGGTTTCTGGAGGCCCCGCATCCCTGGGTGGGGGCTGTCTTGGCACCTTCACCTCCCTGCTGCTGCTGGCGTGGACAGGTACGTCCGGAGGCTGCTCCTCCCTCCTCCCTCCCAACTCCTCCCTCCCTCCCTCCCTCCCTCTCTCCCTCCCCGCCTTGCCTCTCTCATCTCCTTTCTGCTTCTGCTCTCTGTTTATCTCTGGCTCCTTAACTGCTCTCTGCCTCGGTTTCTTCTACGGCTGTGAGGATTAAACAGAAAACACAGCAAGTACGCAGCGCGCCTCTGTCTCTGGTTACTGTCAGCGTCGCCATCGCCTCCTCCTTCTCGCCTCCGTGTTCTCCCATCTCCTCATCCTCCGCGGCTTGCCTCTGGGGCAGCACCGTTTTGTTTTGTTCCTGCGGCAGGAGGTCAGGGGAGGGCACCAGTGGCAGCAGCATCCAGGCCCCAGGGGCTCAGGCCTGTGCCTCCCTCGGAGGATCCGGTCCTGGTCCTCGGTAGGCAGGCTGGACGGGAAGCTGCGGGAGGGCAGGCTCACAGCTGTGCAGCCAGGGCCTGGCCAGGCCCCAGGAAATGCCCCGCCGGGAAGGGCCCTGGGGTTGAGAGACTTGAGGGGCTCCCTGGGCACTGGAGGGCTAAGGGTTCCTCACCACCAGGTACTCAGGGGGACCCCTCCTCACTTGGCGCTGGGGACCCTCCTTACTGGGCACTGGGGGACCCTCCTCACTGGGCGCTGGGGGACCCTCCTCACTGGGTGCTGGGGACCCTCCTTACTGGGCACTGGGATCCCTTCTTACTGGGCGTTGGGGGCCCTTCCTCACAGGGCATTGAGGGCCCCTCACCACTGGATCCTGGGGCCCCTCACTGGCCTAACTGTTTCCTTCTCTTGCCCTCAGCCACCCTCAATGCGGCCAGGATACCTGGTGAGTGGAGCTGGCAGCTCTGACAGGAGGGAGAGGGGAGGAGGCCCAAGCGCAGGCAGTATTGATGTGTCCCTCCCGTGGGCACGGGTCAGAAAGGGGCTGGAGTGAAAGGGGGAGAGAGCCCAAGGGGAGGGGGGCAGGAAGGAGACACCACCGCAAGGAGAAAGGCTTGAGAGGTGCCAGAGCCAGAGGAGAGAGGCAGCCAGGAAGGTGAACAGAGTGGAAAGCAGGGTAAGGAAAGGCGGTGGGAGAGACCAGGTGCAGCTGACAGGCAGGGAGTGGGAGGGCCAGGGCCAGGGCCAGGGGAGGACCAGCAGAGAGTGAGGATGGAGGGAGGGAAAGGACTGGGAGGCGGGCGGAGCTTGGGGTGTGGGTTGGGTTGGGGTACAGGTGGAGCTTAGTGTGTGGGTAGAGCTTGGGGTGTGGGTGAAGCTTGCAGTGCAGGTAGAACTTGGGATGTGGGTGGAGCTTGGGGGCATGAATGGAGCTTGGGCTGTGGGCAGAGCTTGGGGTGCAGGCCTAGGGATTGGGATTCCGAGGGTGGGTTGTAGGAAGCTGGAGATAACAAAACTTGACCGTACCCTCCAGTTCCCCCAGCCTGTGGGAAGCCCCAGCAGCTGAACCGGGTTGTGGGCGGCGAGGACAGCACTGACAACGAGTGGCCCTGGGTCGTGAGCATCCAGAAGAATGGGACCCACCACTGCGCCGGCTCCCTGCTCACCAGCCGCTGGGTGATCACTGCTGCCCACTGTTTCAAGGAGTATGTATAGCCAGCCTGGGACACTTGATTCTCCAAGGCCCTAGGCTTTGTGCCCCAGGTCCTGGACTCCCTTCACGGGCTCTGCTTCTGGGCCTCTGTTCAATCTTGGTGCCCCTCGATTCTACCTAGAAGCCTCTCCTGCCTTCAGGCACCTTCACACCCCTGCTGTTCCCCCAGGTACCTCCTCCTAGACCCTCCTGGCTGATCCTCCTCTTCCCCTTCCTTCCAGCAACCTGAACAAGCCATCCCTGTTCTCTGTGCTGCTGGGAGCCTGGCAGCTGGGGAATCCTGGCTCTCGGTCCCAGAAGGTGGGTGTTGCCTGGGTGCAGCCCCACCCTACGTATTCCTGGAAGGAGGGTGCCCGTGCGGACATTGCCCTGGTGCGTCTCGAGCACTCCATACAGTTCTCGGAGCGGGTCCTGCCCATCTGCCTGCCTGATGCCTCTATCCACCTCCCTCCAAATACCCACTGCTGGATCTCAGGCTGGGGGAGCATCCAAGATGGAGGTGCGGCGTCTTTCTCTCCAAGGTGGTTGGGGGTGGATGGGGACAGAGGATGGCAGATACTTAGGGACACAGACACCATGAGCAACAAAAAGTGGAGGCCAGAGGCACAGCATGACACAGATGGAAGAAAAGATGGGTTGCAATCCAGAAGAAACCTCGGTGGGCAATTTCAGGCCATTTCTCTTTTCTTTTCTTTCTCTTTCTTCTTCTTCCTCCTCTTTCTCGTCTTCCTCCTCCTCCCCCTCCTCGTCTTCCTCCTCCTCCCCCTCCTCCCCCTCCTCCTCCTTCTTCCTCTTCCTCTCCCTCTCTGTCTCCTTCTTTTCTTCTTCTTCCTTTTTTTTTTTTTTTTGAGATAGGGTCTTACTCTGTCACCCAGGCTGGAGTGCAGTGGTGTGATCATAACTCACTGCAGCCTTTGCCTCCCAGGCTCAAGTGACCCTCCCACCTCAGTCTCCCAGGTAGCTGGGACTACAGGTGTGCGCCACCACACCTGGCTAATTTTTGTATTTTTTGTAGTGACAGGGTTTTTCCATGTTAGACAGTCTGGTCTTGAACTCTTGGGCTCAAGCAGTCCACCAGCTTCAGTCTCCTGAAGTGCTGGGATTACAGGTGTGAGCCACTGTGACGGCCCTCATTTCTACTTCAAAAGTATCTTTAGCTATGTTTTGAGGCAACAGCCAGACCCGTGAAGCTATTCAATTCATCGATATAGGAATGGCTGAAAGGAGGTGTGTGTGGGACTAAGCTGAATACAGGGTGAATGTAAAAAGAGGTCTGATTCCAGAGTGGGAACAGGCACCCCCTGGTGGCAGCATGCCATAATTGTGGGCAAAATTCTCAGGAGAAAATGCAGCCTCCTTAATTGTAAAATACAATTTTCAAACCACCTCTGGAGGTTTGGAAAACATCATCTTGAAACTCAAACTAGATTACATAAAGCAAGAAGCAGGGAAGCAGCAAGAGAAAGGTAGATGACAGATCGACAGGCAGGTGGATGATAGAGAGTGGGCCAAGGAAAAGAAACATACAGGCAGAAATGAGGATACAATGAAGACCTGGAAGAGAGAGTTTGAGAGAGAGAGATAGAGACTAAGTAAGAACAAAGTGTAAGACAGATGAAAATTTAACCAGATTCCAGAATAATTAAGAGAAATGACACTAGCTCAGGTGTATGGGGATCCCACTGACTCTGAGGTTTCAGCCTCCCCATAATCTCTGTAGGGGCTTCTTCAAGAGCTAGAATTGCAGACTTTCAGTCCACAATCTGCAGACCACAGTCTGTAGACCAGCTCCAGGCAAGGTGTGGGGATCCCTCAGGTCCTGGTAATTTTCAGCATTGAGAAGACATTTATTGAACACTTCCTCTATAGCAGTCCCAGTGCTGGATGAAGTAATGCAGTGTCTGAGACAGGAAAGGGTCTAACCATCTGTGGATATCAGAAAATTTATTAAAGAGGCAGGCAGGGTCTTAGGTTTCACATTCATGTTCTGATTCAGCAGGGCCAGAGGTGAAGACCTGGAATTTCGATTTTCTGAAGGCATCTTGGGAGAGCCTGATAGAGCTAATCTGTTAGCCTTTGAGCACCGCTGCTGAGAGGAATGGTGGTCAGGGGGGATAGTCCTTTGAGGAGGCAACGAGGAGGGAAGACCCCCAAGCCTGATTCTGTCCTCCTTCCTCTCAGTGCCCTTGCCCCACCCTCAGACCCTGCAGAAGCTGAAAGTTCCTATCATCGACTCGGAAGTCTGCAGCCGCCTGTACTGGCGGGGAGCAGGACACGAAGCCATCACTGAGGACATGCTGTGTGCTGGCTACTTGGAGGGGGAGCGGGATGCTTGTTTGGTAAGCCTCCCCCCCCAGCCCCCCACCCCTGGCCAGGAGGGCCTCGAGAAGGAGCCAGCATCACCCCTGTCCCCACTGGGCATCACCACCTCTCCCTGGCCTCCTCCCCAGAACTGGCTGTGCCTGACAGCCCCCGGTCCCCATAGAACCAGCCTCAGCCACTCACTTATTTGTTCAGACATTAAACTGGGCATCCAGCTGCACCACCTCACCCTCCGGGAGCTTGCATTCCCTTCAGGGGGTTTCCCACGCCTCAGTACCCAAAGCCAGCTCTAGCTCTGGGAGTGTCTGAAAGACAGTCAGATAGTGCAGCAGCAGCACCTGGGCCTGGACGTCTTAAGGCCTGGCTGCAGCTCCTACTCTGTCGCCAGGCACTTCTCTTGAGTGGAGGTCAGGTCCTGTGTCCCCCAGGAAGGAGAAATGGGCTCCCGGGGCTCATCTGCTCCCTGACAGGGCACGGGCCCTGGATTCTGCCACTCCCTGTGCCACGGGGGTTCCTAACCTCGCCTCCTCTCTTCAGGGCGACTCCGGGGGCCCCCTCATGTGCCAGGTGGACGGCGCCTGGCTGCTGGCCGGCATCATCAGCTGGGGCGAGGGCTGTGCCGAGCGCAACAGGCCCGGGGTCTACATCAGCCTCTCTGCGCACCGCTCCTGGGTGGAGAAGATCGTACAAGGGGTGCAGCTCCGTGGGCGCGCTCAGGGGAGTGGGGCCCTCGGGGCACCGAGCCCGGGCTCTGGGGCGGCCGCGCGCTCCTAGGGCGCAGCGGGTCGCGGAGCTCGGATCTGAAAGACGGCCAAATCCAGATCTGGATCTGGATCTGCGACGGCCTCGGGCGGATTCCCCCGCTGTAAATAGGTCCAACTACCTCTGGGGGCCCGGTCGGCTGCTGCGGAAAGGATACCCCTCCCCGCCCCGCCCGACGGCCTCAGGTCCCGCCCCACGACTTCCGGTCCCGACCCGGGCCCCATTGCTTCTGTGTTTATAAAAGTTAATGATTTTTATAGCTATTTGTAACCCTGCCCACATATCTTATTTATTCCAACAATTTCAATAAATTATTTATTCTGCAATGTCTGTTTTTCCCATGCCTGGGGACACTGGAAAGCAAGGGTCCAGAGGGGGTTAAGGTAGGGGGTTGGATGTTGGCCTGGCCAGAGACTGTGCCATCCTGTCCACCTGGGGCTCACTCTGACCCCTGCTTCCACCTAGGGTTCAGCCTCCTGACCCCTGACCTTTGCAGCCTGGGCCACCCTCCCTTTTATCCCTCTCTCAACCAGGGCAGGGCAGCCGATGGAGAGGGGCCAGAGTCTAGAGGCCTGGGAGACCAAGCTCTGTCACTTCAGGAAGGGGAAGAGAGGGATTGGGAACCCCCAAACTGTGCGTTGGATTCCAAAACAGGCTGGTGAAGAGAAACCCAGCCCCATGGGAGTGGGGTGCTACCTCTCCACCCCCGGCCAAGTCCCCCCTTCTGCTTTCCCCACCACAGGCCTCAGGGGCCTCAGGATGGCAGAGCTGAGGGTGGTGGTGGAGGGAGGCGCCCAGGTGAGCCCCATCAGAGCCCCGTCTCCGTAGGCAGGCTGCTGGGTCCTCATCCCCAGGAGCCGATTCGTCGAGCAACTCACCGCGAAGCTCTAAACTCCCCACTTTGGAAGAAGCAGCGGACAGTGGCAGGGCAGGCCTCTGGCTCTGTGGGCATCAGGAGTTGAGTCACCCCACCTGTCCCCATGGGAGGTGGGAGTTTGGTCCCAGGCCAAGAGGAGGGGTCTGTCTGGCTTCCTGCCTGCTTAGGGATGCAGATTAATACTCTGTTTCCCCACAGCCACTCATCTGCAACCCGCTCTGGCCTCCTGGACCCAGGGTCCTCATCGCAGCCTGCCTGGGTTCAGGCCTTCCCCAGCATTCCTGTAACAAGTGGGTATGTGGTTAGAGGGCTGTGCTGCTGGCTTTGGTGAGTATGTGATCCTCTAGCAGCCAATACAGAAGAGATTCACCCAAAGCGAAGTCAGGAAAACAACCAGGTCCAATTGTGCTGAAGAATGAGACACTATGACACTACCATGAAATGTCTCCGTCCAGAAATGATCAAGGACATGGCCAAGTTTGGAGAAGGCAACACAGTTTTAGTTTTTTGTTCTGTTTTGTTCGGAGTCCTTTGTTGGAAGTGCAGTTCTAAAATGTTTGTTCATACTGTCTTGATTGCCTTATTTATTTATTTTTTTCGAGGCAGGGCTTGCTTTGTTGCCCAGGCTGGAGTGCAGTGGTGTTACCCTGGCTTACTGCAGCCTCTACCTCCCAGGCTCAAGTGATCCTCCCACCTCAGCCTCCCAAGTAGCTAGACTGCAGGCGTGAGCCACCATGCCAGGCTAATTTTTAAATTTTTTATAGAGACAGGGTTTCTCCATGTTGCCCAGGCTGGTCTCCAACACCTGGCCTCAAGCAAACCACCCGCCTTGGCCTCCCAAAGTGCTAGGCTTACAGATGTGAGTCACTGGCCCAGCCTGATTACCTTCATATGATTATCAGATCATAGTAAATGCTATGGGGTTGTTTTTATTAAAACAACCAACCAACCAACCAACCAACCAGAACTGCCCTGCTGTTTGTTAGAGTGACCGGCCCAGGGAGTGCTGGGGTGACTCAGGTGTCCCAGGTAGCAGAGCCAACCCCCACGGCCCCTCCCTTTGTGACCTGGTCCCCTCTTGATGTCACCCTATGCTCTGGGTTCCCTTACCTCCTCTGTGGGCTTTAGCCCCTCCCCTTTCCAGTCCTCATTTGCTGGCCTCTCTCCCTCACTCAACTTCTGCCCCTGCTCCTGGACTGCCCCCTTCTGTCTCTGAGTGCCCCCTTCCTCATTTCTCCACTTCCTTCCCCTGCTCCTGTCCTGGAGTCTCTCCCTTCAGTGTCTCCTTCGACCCCGCCAGCTCTGCCCCCCTTGTCTGTGCCCCCAGACCAGCCCTCTCCTGCCCCTCGTCTTCTTCTTTTTCCTCTCCTCTCCTCTCCCTGCTCCTGTCCTGTTTCTCCTCCTTGTCAGCTCTCGCTCTCTGACCCTCAGTTTCATGGATACATGTTCCTTTACCCCATCCCTCCACAGGCCCTGGTGCACGTGCATCTACTCTGCATCTACTCCCTCTAATAGGGTCCTGACAGAAGCCCCTGACAGAATGTAGTGCCTAGAGTGGGGGCAGAGAAGCCGCCCCGTAAGCGGCAGGATTCACCAGGGAGGGTGGAGATTTCTCTGAGTTGGGAGGTCGCCTCCAGGCAGCCTTGAGTTTAAGGGAGCCTCTCATGCCTTCCTTAGTGGCTCCATGGGATCCCAGGGCCCTGAGGGACAGGCTGGGGGTGGAGTGGGAAGTCAGCTCTGGCTCTGAAGTGCAACAGGACTTCCAACGATGTCCTCTCCAAACCACGGTGGGGTTCCAGGAGGTGGGTACAGAGTCTCTCCAGCCGCTGTCGGGCTCAGGCAGCACGTGCAGCTCCCTTTCCTTGGGGACCCTTCCCTTGGGGGTCCTGCCAGCTCACAGTGTGTGCACCGTACTTAGAGTCGGGCCAGCCCATGTCCCCAAACTTTGCTGGACATGCTGAGTCTATGGCTCACAAAACAGCTCCCTTCTCCCCGGTTGGAGCCTGGCCCAGGAACAAGTCCCACATGTGAACCATGCTGGGTGGGAGGACCTCGCTACCTCCGCCCCACCAGCATCACCTGTCTCTAGGGGCTGCAGAGACCCGTAGGCCTGGCTGTCTCCTCAAGAGGGAATCCCACATGTTCCAGTTGTACTGGGCCCCCATGGCCGGCTATACGCCCATCCTAGACTCCTGGGCAGATGTCTCTGGCTCCTTTTTCACCTCTCCGATAGAACAGCCTTTTGCAGAGCTCTCTCTACCTCCCTAAGAGCACCGATGGGGACCATCTGACCTCTGCGACAAATGTCATTACAGCAGGAACTGCCTTAGCTGCAGGCTGTGAAGTCTGGCTACTCCTTCCTCAAATCATGAGCTCTTGAGGGAACTTTCTCCTATGTCTGGGACCTCCTAACTCTTCTCCACTTTGCATCCGAAGCGAGCATTTAAAAGCACATGCTTAAATACATGACTTCCCTCCGTGGCAGGCTCCTTTGGTTGGCTAAGCCAACCCCTATTTCAACTCTTCTGTTTGCTTCTTCCACCTGGAAGAGCTAAATGTTCATTGTCTCCTGCATGGTCACATGTGCCTGTGGGACTAAGTGTTGGCCAATGAGATGGGTGGCTTCTTAGGAAGATTGTTTTTCCCTAATAAAAGGAACATATTCAGCTGGCGTCATCCTTTCTCTCCTTCCTCTTTCTTCTAGTACTGAACGCACATGCAATGCCCAGATTTCAGCAGTCATTTATGACCATAAGGCTACAACCTGACATGCTAATGACAGTGAACCACGATTCAACAGCTATGGGTGTGATGGTGAGGTCAAGATGCTGCCCTAGCTCTACACAGCCTGCCTCCTTCCAGGCTTCTTGTTTTGTTTGTTTGTACCAGTACCAGCAGGGATGTTGCCCTGATGCAGCTGGACTTCCCCTTGCAGGCCTCTGATTTTTCCAGAAAAGTCTATCAGGGGGTACACACCAGTTAACTGTCTCATGGTGATAGAAGCAGCTGTTGAGGATTATTCCCTAGACCAATTAATCCATTAGATTGCAACATGGTGATATTCCTGGTCCAGTAGTAGGAATTCCTCCATAAAGAGAAACTTTTCATCATCTATTTATTTTTGTTGCCCCTTTCATTCTATTTTTAAAACTTTTTATGTTTTGGCACCTATTTATCCTCAAAATAATGAACTGTTTCCTTAGCATACTCCAAAAATGATAAAGGAGGTATTTTTTATAATATTATGAACTCACGGTTTTTTTTGAGAAGGAGTCTCGTTCTGCTGCCCAGGCTGGAGTGTAGGCTCACTGCAGCCTCTGTTTCTGGGTTAAAGCGATTCTCCTGCCTCAGCCTCCTGAGTAGCTGGGATCACAGGTGCCAACACCACGCCCAGCTAATCTCTGTATTTTTAGTAGAGATGGGGTTTCACCATGTTGGCCAGGCTGGTCTCGAACTCCTGACCTCAGGTGATCTGCCCACATCGGCCTCCCACAGTGCTGGGATCACAGGCGTGAGCCACCGCACCTGGCCTTATTTTTCATTTTTTTTTTTTTTTTTTTGAGACGAAGTCTCGCGCTGTCGCCCAGGCTGGAGTGCAGTGGCCGGATCTCAGCTCACTGCAAGCTCCGCCTCCCGGGTTCACGCCATTCTCCGGCCTCAGCCTCCCGAGTAGCTGGGACTACAGGCGCCCGCCACCTCGCCCGGCTAGTTTTTTGTATTTCTTAATAGAGACGGGGTTTCACCGTGTTAGCCAGGATGGTCTCGATCTCCTGACCTCGTGATCCGCCCGTCTCGGCCTCCCAAAGTGCTGGGATTACAGGCTTGAGCCACCGCGCCCGGCCTATTTTACGTATTTAAATCAGTCCAAGTTATTGCCCACAGTGATGCTCCCATCGTCGGCCAGTGGGAACATCTTCTGGTTGGCTCCTGAGAGGGACCACTCACTTTCCAGACCCTCCAGGACCTGAGGCCAGGCTGAGATGATGCTCACAGGACTCGCATACTGACCGGAACCCCGCCTGATCGCACGGGAAGTCCACCGGAAACCCTCTTGGAGCCCACTGGAAACCCTCGTGGAGCCCACCAGAAGTTTAGCGAAACACCCTCAACTTCCGTAAGAGCGCAGGAAGTTTGACGGAAAACCGCCGGAAACGGACAGAAAGGAGTCCCTGCCACTCTGTAACCTCCTGTGGCGCCCCCTGTTGGCAGAGTCGTAGCGAGGCTGAAATGAGGTCCTCGACGTGGCTGAGTGAGCATCCCGGCTGCCTGTGGATGGGTGGGTGTAGGGCTGAGAGGCGACGACAGTGGGGAGCTTCCTCAGCGATCCTGGGCTTCTCGGGTCAGGCCGACTTCAGTGCGGGCTGGAGGCCATGCACAATACCAAGCGCATGGCGTGGTCCTCAGCTGCCTCGGTACTGGCTTCGCCTCTGCTCCTGGCCCTGGGATGGGGGCCAAAGGTTTTGGGGAGTGGCAGCAGCAGGAGGAAGTAGTACCTGGAAAACGTGTCTTCTGATTCGACCCTTCCTGTCTGGAGGGCTGGGCTGTGGTTTGTTCCCATAGCAACGAACAGGGCTCCCCTGGGCACCAGCCCCTTAGATACGGTGTGCCCCGGGAGGGCGCTGCAGGAGCTACAGGTCCCTCTGGTGGGAAGGGAGGCGAGAGGTGGGCTGGGGCAGCCCGACTGGGCTGCGTGGATACACTACACTTCCTGGTGGGGGACAGGGTGAAGAGGGTTGGTCCCCACCTCTGCCTTGAGCAGAGCTTCCAGTAGGTGAAGCAGTGGGGGTCTCCTGTCTGCTGGAAGGATGGGTGGGGCTTCCACATCTCAGCCCAGTAGGGTGGACTGACCTCTGGCTCCTTGGAGGGACTGGCCTGAAGTGGGCCCTGGCATCCCCAGCCTCCTCTAAACCACCTCCCTGGAACATGTGGGACAGGAACCCAAGCGGCATCTGAGGAGGGCAGGTTCTGCCAGGCACAGAGGGCTCCAGCGTGATTGCCACTGGTTAATGACCTGCCACCCCTGCCCCCCCAACCTCTGGTGCCGTCCAAGGACTCTGACCCCAGTGCAGTGTCTGTAGGGAAGAGGAGCCATGGGGCTTCGGGCAGGCCCCATCCTGCTGCTGCTGCTGTGGCTGCTGCCAGGTGAGGGGTGCGCCTCTGTCTTCTCCTCCCTCCCACCCCCTGCCAGCCTGTGTGCTCCCCTTTGCTCTCTTGCTTTCCAGGGGCCCATGGGGATGTGCTGCCTTCAGGTACCGTAGACATCTCATCCCTGCACTCAGCCAGCCCCTACTCCTGGCCAGGGAGGACTGGCCCCAGGGGACATGCAGAGGCCCTTGGCCCCGGGAGCCTCATCCCTGGACATCAAGGGCTGAGGGATGTCAGAAGGTGTTAGGGTAAAGAGTGAGACCGGTAGGGAGGGGCTTTCTGAGAGAGAAGAAAGCTGAGGTCTCCCACCTGCCCATCCCTCTGCAGAATGCGGCCACTCCAAGGAGGCTGGGAGGATTGTGGGAGGCCAAGACACCCAGGAAGAACGCTGGCCGTGGCAGGTTGGCCTGTGGTTGGCCTCAGTGGGGCACATATGTGGGGGCTCCCTCATCCACCCACGCTGGGTGCTCACGGCCGCCCACTGCTTCCTGAGGTGAGTGGCGCTGGGTGGGGGTGCTCCTCGCCCCTCCCTTCAGCGGCTGCCTGCAGCGGGCCATGTTTCCGTTCCCCTCTCAGGTCTGAGGATCCCAGGCTCTACCGTGTTAAAGTCGGAGGGCTGACACCCTCCCTTTCAGAGCCCCACTCGACCTTGGTGACTGTGAAGAGGCTCCTGGTCCACTCCTCATATCGTGGGGCCACCACCAGCGGGGACATTGCCCTGATGGAGCTGGAATTCCCCTTGCAGGCCTCCCAGTTCAGCCCCGTCTGCCTCCCAGGACCCCAGACCCCCCTCGCCATTGGGTCCCTGTGCTGGGTAACAGGCTGGGGGTCCACCCAGGAGAGAGGTAAGAGGAATATGCATTCACCAGCTCCCACTCCTAGCCAGGGGGGACCAGCCCAGGGACCACGCGGAGCCAGCCTGAGTGGTCTCCACAGACCTTGGTCCGCATGTTTATCTTCTCTCCCCTCCCACCCCACCCTGAAGCTGGGAACACTTGGGGCCAGGAACCATACTGTCCAGACTGTGGGACTCCTCTTGGCCAAGGTGACCACCATATTAGATTTTGGGGATCTTGAGCTAGTGTCCAGGATTGTGCCCATGGTGGGGTGAATAAGCCAAGGCTAAGAGGTCATGAGATTAGCCAGGGTCATGGGAGAGGATCTGGGCTTGAGCACTGCTCCCTGACCCCACTGTCTCCTGGTTTAGGAGTTGGGACGGGCAGGGCGGGTGGGCAGAGAAGAGATAGGAGGTGCAGCCTGCCACCATCCCAGGTGAGAGGGAAGAGGCTCACCTGATGGGGACGAGGCTCGAGGTGGGCTCAGGCTGGCCCCCGCATCACATCCAGCCCTGGCGAGTGTCCTTCAGGAGGTGGCTGTGCCCCTCCTGGACTCGAACGCGTGTGAGCTGATGTACCACCTAGGAGAGCCCAGCCTGGCCGGCCAGCGCCTCATCCAGGACGACATGATCTGCGCTGGCTCTGTCCAGGGCAAGAAAGACTCCTGCCAGGTGACTGCAGCTCCTGGTCACCCCATGCAGAAGTGTGGGCTCTTTAGGCTCACCCTGTCCTGGGCTCTGTCCCCATGTTCCCCCCCTCAGGGTCTCCAGAGGGACCAGAGTCCTTGCCTGGCTCCTTGGCGTCAGCAGCAGATTCTTGAAGGCACTTGGGGCCCAGGTGTCTCCCTCAATGCAGACCTCATGGGGCCCTCCCTCTCTCTCCCCCAGGGTGACTCCGGGGGGCCGCTGGTCTGCCCCATCAATGATACGTGGGTCCAGGCTGGCATTGTGAGCTGGGGATTCGGCTGTGCCCGGCCTTTCCGGCCTGGTGTCTACACCCAGGTGCTAAGCTACACAGACTGGATTCAGAGAACCCTGGCTGAACCTCGCTCAGGCATGTCCGGGGCCCGCCCAGGTGCCCCTGGGTTCCTCTCAGGCATCTCTGGGTCCCATCCAGGCACCTCCAGGTCCCACCCAGTGCTACTGCTTGAGCTGTTGACCGTACGCTTGCTTGGGTCCCTGTGAACCCTGAGTCATGGAGTCCAGGGTCCCCCTTCTGGTAGGATTGATGGAATCTAATAATAAAAACTGTAGGTTTTTTTAATGTGTATTTTATGTCTTTGCTTTTCTAGTAATTCATTTTTATTCTTTACAAAAACATCTGGTTGTGGTAGGTTGGGAGAGCATGGTGCCTGCCCCGGGCAGTGTCTGCGGAACATCTTCATCAATAGGGTCACGGTGTGCAGACTTGCTCAGGACGGTCTTGGGCGATGCCTATCCTGTGTTGTTAGATAAGATCCCTGTCCCTCTCAAAAGTGTCCCAAAAGTGGGAGAAAGAGTTTTATAGTCACCGTGACTCAGCCAGTGCAAGAGCTGGAGCTCCTTGAAGCCCACGGATTTTCAGTCTCAGGCATTCTTGTGTAGTTGCCATGGCCACCAACTGTCCAATAATAGGCCTTGTTCTCCCAGCTCCGGCCCACGGAGTGTCCATGCCCTCCCCCACCACCCTGCCCTCTGCTGACTGCAGCCAGTGGGGGCCCTGGGGGCTGTTTCAGGCGTGAACAGGGGCTTTGAGGCCATTGCCAGTGTGGTGGGCAGCGCCCTCTGCCTGTGTCTTAGACCCATGGGCAAAGCAGTGCCTGGCAGAGCCAGTTCCACACTTGCAGGGAGGGGTCCATTCGGAAGCTCGCAGCCTGTGTCAGTTTAAGAAACTCTCCCGTCTCTGTGAGACAAGGTGGCTGGGCTTTCACTCCAGTTTGGCACCAGATCTGGGGGAAGGATCCTCTGCTTGGGTAGGGCACAGTCGGGCCAGCCTTTGTCCCATCGCCACTCCCCTGCCCTGGAGGTGGCTGTTGGGAGCACCCCATGGAGGAGAGGGGCTTTGAGGTCGCAGGTGAGTGGGCAGTGGAGCTGTCACCCCAACACCTCAGCCCTCCCAGGGAACACCCTCAGCTGGGTGACCTCTTAGAATAATGAGGTTGTTCTACTGCACTAGAAGACTGGATGCTCTAGAATCATCTCTCCTTTTGCTGTGGGCCCGCCTTCATAAGGTCCTGTTCTCCCCCAATGGCCTCGCCTCCTTCCAACCCCTCTGCCTTCATCCCGGGATGGACGGCGTCCTGGAGGGACTCATTGGATCTGCCAGGAGCTCAGCCTCCTGGGTGGAAGTTTCTGGCCTCTCAGCTTCTCTGTTTTGTCTCACAACTTTCTCTTGCTCATCACTTTGATGCATCAGTTTGCTAATGGATTCTCCGGCTCTTCACTCATAAATAACTCCTTCCAGAAATCTAGTGAGGAGGGAAAGTGACAGATTAAAACAAAGTCCTCACTTCTGGATTTCTGCTTAAATGTTAGAGTCGGCAGTCCCTCCTCACACAGGCCCGAAGCACCAAGGATGTCTCAGAAGCGCTAAGCCTCCCTCCTTACATATCAGCCCCTTCAGTTTCTCTCTCCTTTTTTCTTTTGTGACAGGATCTTGCTCTACTGCCCAGGCTGGAGTGCAGTGGCTCGGTCTCAGCTCATTGCAGCCTCGACCTCCTGGGCTTAAGCGATCCTCCCACCTCAGCCTGCCTGGGCATACACTTGCACACCACCACACTTGGCTAATTTTTGTATTTTTAGTAGAGATGGGGTTTCACCATGTTGCCCAGGCTAGTCTTGAACTCCTGACCTCAAGTGATCCACCCGCCCCAGCCTCCCAAAGAGCTGGGATGACAGGCGTGAGCCACCATGCCCAGCCCACCCCTCCAGTCTCTTCCCCAGATGACCATGACCAGGGCTGCTATGCCCTCAGCCCTGTGCCAGGATCCACTCCCATCCAGGAGGCCCCTGTCCAGGCTGTGTGCCTGTCTGTGTGTGGATGTGTCTGTGTGTGGGTGTGTATTTATGTGTGTGCCTATGTGTGGATGGGTGTTTGTGTGTTTTTATGTTCATGTGTATGTGTGTGTGTGTATGTGTGTGTGTACTTGTGTGTGTCTGCGTGTCTATGTGTCTCTGTGGGGTAGGTGTGTGTGTATGTGTATGTGTCTGTGTGTGTGGGTGTGGGTGTGGGTATTTGTGTCTGTGTATGGGTGTGCATTTGCATAGGTGTGTATGTGTGTTTCTGTATGGATAGGTGTGTGTGTCTCTGGGTGTGTGTGTGTGGTGGGTGTGTATTTGTGTGTGTATGTATGTATGGGTGCGTGTGTGTGTGTCTCTGTGTGGGGGGTGAGTGTGTATTTGCGTGTATGTGAATGGATATTTGTGTGTGTGAGTGTGTCTCTGTGTGGATGGGTGTGTATTTGTGTGTGTATGTATGTATGGGTGCGTGTGTGTGTGTCTCTGTGTGGGGGGTGAGTGTGTATTTGCGTGTATGTGAATGGATATTTGTGTGTGTGAGTGTGTCTCTGTGTGGATGGGTGTGTATTTGTGTGTGTGTGTGTCGGTGGGTGTTTTTGTGTGTCTCTGTGTGGGTGGGTATTTTTGTGTGTGGGTGGGTATCTGTGTGCTTGTCTGTGTGTATGTGTATTTGTGTGTGTCTCTGTATGAGTGGGTGTGTATTTGTGTGTATGTGTGTCTGGGTGTGTATTTGTGTGCGTGTGTGGGTATTTTTGTGTGTATGTGTGTCTGGGTGTGTATTTCTGTGCGTGTGTGGGTATTTTTGTGTGTATGTTTGAATGGGTGTGTATTTGTGTGTGTTTGTGTGTCTGTGTGGTCCTCAGCATCCCCCACATTTCCTGGCAGTGGACAGCACGAATGCTCCTCGACCCCCACCGTCAGGGGAAGCCTGCTGAGCCTCTTTTCTCTCTGAGGTGTCTGACACCTGCCAACGGTGAGTTAGAAGGAAGGGGCCTCAGCCAACAGCAAAAGCCACAGGAGGATTTTTCCCACCTGACTTGGGCTGTGGTGCACACACAGCCCTCTTTGTCTTCTCTTTCTCTGGCCCCTGACACAGGTGCTGTTTGTGGAGAACTTAGGAGACTGGTGCTTCTGCTTGTGAAGCGCCTCCTGCCCGGGGCTTGTTGGAAAGACACAGAGGGTTCTCCTGGTGCCTGGGCCGGGGGCTGGGTGCAGGTCCGAGAGGGTGGTAGGTGCAGACGTGAGTCCAGGTGGCATCCAAGGTGCTCCACTTCCTCCAGCAGCTCCTCTTTTTTTTTTTTTTTTTTTTTTGAGATGGAGTCTCGCTCAGTCGCCCAGGCTGGAGTGCAGTGGCCGGATCTCAGCTCACTGCAAGCTCCGCCTCCCGGGTTTAGGCCAATCTCCTGCCTCAGCCTCCCAAGTAGCTGGGACTACAGGCGCCCGCCACCTCGCCCGGCTAGTTTTTTGTATTTTTTAGTAGAGACGGGGTTTCACCGTGTTCGCCAGGATGGTCTCGATCTCCCGACCTCGTGATCCGCCCATCTCGGCCTCCCAAAGTGCTGGAATTACAGGCTTGAGCCACCGCGCCCGGCCTTTTTTTTTTTTTTTTGAGACAGAGTTTGGTTCTGTTGCCCAGGCTGGAGTGCAGTGGTGTGATCTTGGTTCACTGCAAGCTCTGCCTCCCAGGTTCACACCATTCTCCTGCCTCAGCCTCCTGAGTAGCTGGGATTACAGGCACCTGCCACCGCGCTCGGCTAATTTTTTGTATCTTTAGTAGAGACGGGGTTTCACTGTGGTCTCAATCTCCTGACCTCATGATCCACCCGCGCCAGTCTCCTAAAGTGCCGGGATTACAGGCGTGAGCCACCGCGCCCGGCCCTTTGAGCAGCTCCTCTTAGGCCCCGGCTGCCTGGCCCACTCTGACTGCACGGCAGCCAGCACCAAATGTCTCTCAGTAGGACCCCCAGCTTGCTGGTCGGCGTGTCTGTGGGCCCAGTGGACTGCAGGAGACCTTGGGACTAGTGACGCTGTTTAGAGACAGGTCAGGGCGGGAGCTGCACAGTTCAGTGTTGTGTAGGAGGAAACAATTCAAACGCCCCTGCAGGGCTGAGCTGGTGTGGGGATGAGGAGGAAGTGGCCACAATGGACTCAGGTGTTCTGGAAGGCTGACAGGCTGACTTCTGTCCCAAGGCCAGAGCCGCCCAGGATTGGGGAATGTTTGGCCAAGGGTGAGAAGCAGGAGCAGAGGCAGGGACCCAGCACAGGCTGAGCAGTTCCTTCCTCACCCTGGAGCCCAGGGTGCAGACCTGGCACGCACCTTGTCTCTGAACTTGTAGTGAGTCGATGAAAAGGAATTTTCAGGATCACAGCAGGCTCTGCCAGCGGTACTGTGGGCGTGTGGACCTCGGAGTTCCAGGACAAGAAAATCACATGTTGTGTGGCGGCTGAAGTATTTGGGCACTTGGGGACCCTCAGGAAAGAACCTCCCCACACAATGGTGGGACTGGGCCAACACCTGAGCAGGAAGTGGTAGGAGGACTGTGGGATTGGGGTTTAAATTCCATGACTCACTCACTCAGCCTGGGCTTCCTTGTCTGTAAAAATGTGAGATTAACACCCATCCCAAGGATGTTTGTGACGATTAAATGAAGCAATACTTGTGTAAGCACTTGCCATTGCGCCTGGTCCAAAATCGGATCATGATGAACGCTAGTGTCTTGTCTTTCCTTTCCTTTTCTTTTTTTCTTTTCTTTTTTTTTTCTTTTCCTTTCTTTTTCTTTTTTCTTTTTCTGAGACAAGGTTTCACTTCTGTTTCTTAGGCTGGAGTGCAATGGTGTGATCTCAGCTCACTGCAATCTGTACCTCCTGGGCTCAAGCAATTCTCCTGTTTTAACCTCCCAAGTAGCTGGGACTACCGCACCCGGTTATGTATTTTTGTAGAGGCAGTGTCTTGCCATGTTGCTTAGGCTGGTCTTGAACTCCTGGGCTCAAGTGATCCATCTGTCTAGACCTCTCAAAGTGCTGGGATTACAGGTGTAAGCCACTGTGCCTGGTCCTGCTAGTGTGTTTTCTATCCATCTATCCACTCACCCACCCACCCACTTATGCATCTATCCATCCATCTACTCACCCACTCACCCACCCACCCATCTACTGACTCATAAATTCATCCATCCATCCGTTCATCTACCCACTCACCCACCCACCTACCCACCTATCCATCCACCCACCCATCCATCCATCCACCCACCTATCCATCCATC